AGGGTTTTGAGTTTGGTCCGAACTTGAACCTTCTTGAGTTGACCAGGAGAAATTGAGGAAAGAGAACTTCAGTAGAAACTTGATTTGGGGAATGCTCTCTTTCCGGGCATTTTTCACTGTATGGAGCACAGATCTGTTGTAATTTCAAGTATTTCTTTTAGTTTTGAGAAATGATACTGTTCAGGTCTACCCAGCTGAAATGTTTAAAAGACTTTTTTCTTCTTCCATATCGAACATGGTAAATTTGTACTGGCAAAAGGTATGAAATAGTAATTTGAATCTCTGAAATTAAACTAATGACGGTGTGTTGGAATTTGTTTTCTGACTTGCAGAAAGCCATGCACCTCTACGAGAAGCAGAGTCTACAAATGGATGCTATGCCCAAATGTCAATGGTGGAATGTTGAAATTTATTTCAGCGTCCGATCAGGAGATGGGGAAGGAGCAAAGTTCTGATCATGTTGTAGAAGATTTCTGACGCGGAAATGCTGGATGCGAATATGCCGAAGAAGAAGCTGTTCCAACTGCTGCTTCTCAGGACAAAGTGGAGCAGCCAGTTTCAATTCAAAGTCGGGAATCGCCAGATCATATGGATAGCCTTTCTCCAGAGAAATCAGAAGTGCCCCAAGACTGATTTGGTGGCAGGAGCCCAGCGGTGCCTAAATCAGTTTTGAATGGCAATGAGATGGAAGAGGTGGGGTCCCAACGGGTGATATTAGAAGCTGAGGATACGTCACAAGCTATTGAAAACTTATCCCCTGAAAAAAATTCTCTGACCCCTTCTCGTGTCAAAAGCCCACAACAATAGTTAAATCAACAAAGCCCACCCATGTTTCTCTTATTCATATCTAGCCCTAGATTTTAGTAGCGTTTACTTCAAGTAAAAACTGCTAGGGAGAAGAATCAAATATTTCTTATAACTTCTGTTGCAAGAAAATAACTTTATATAAAAAAATTAAATATTTTTTTTATTTTATTCAAAAAATTTATTTAATTTTTATAAAAAAAAATATAAATTTACTTTGTCTTAAAAATTTTAAAAATTTTAAATTTGATTCGAATTGAAATCGATTTGATTATTTATTAGAAGTATCGAGAATTAATCAAGAGAAATTGAAAAAGAAAAATTTAGAGATCAAACAAGGTGAAGAAAAGAAAACACAGGGCTTTGTCTTCAATTCAAAACAATGCACTCAAACTAGAGAGTCTAATAGAAGAAGATGCTACCAATTTCAAGCTGGGGAAGTTAAACAAGAATGTTGGCCTTAGAAGGAAATTTAAAAGCAACAAAGAAGAAGATGGAGTGCTGAATTTGAAGAGAAGAAAGATGGGTATGCCAAGTTATACTAACCCACCGCCGGACTTGCCTGAAAACTTCAAAAAGCATATCGTTGGCAAGATGGGTGGTTCGGATTGGCTTCTGGTGATACAAAAGCCCATCTTTTTCTCTGACGTAAACCCTGGAGCCAGTGGGTTCTCCATCCCATTCTCCCAAATCCAAAGCCATGAATTTCTCTACAAAAAGGAGGCAGAGGATTTGAATGACAAAAAGGATATGCAAGTGCGCTTGTTAGAACCGTCCCTGGAGGAGATCACCCTAAGCTTTAGGAGGTGGAATATGGTAAAAAGTTCAATGTATGTTCTGACCACAAGGTGGAATTCGGTTGTTAAGAATAATCAACTCGAGATTGGTGACGTGGTGCAGCTGTGGTCTTTTCGAGTTGAATCCTGTCTTTGCTTTGCACTTGTAAAGGTTGATGATGTCCAGAAAGGAAGCGAAGAATGGAAACGGTGCAAGTTCAAGTCATCAAGAAGAGGGACATGGTGGTTGTAGAAGGATAAGCTGTGGCTGGAGAGATGGTGTAAGAATAGGGTAATGGCAGAAAAGGCTGGAGGAGAAGCCGCGAGCGCAAAGTAGTTTCTATTTCCTTAGGATTTTCATGAAGTTTTATTTTTTAATACAATTAACTTTTTAAATTTTTCCAGCAACTTTTAGAATTATTACAATTAATATTTTATTAACAAATCGAATTAACGTTCTATCGACATTTTTTCAGATTCTTAAACTTACACTGATCGCAAGTATTTTGTATGCTACATTACACTTGATATTGTTATTATTTTTTTAAATTAAATTTCATTCATAATCCAGGAAGGGAACACTTTTGTACAACCATGAGAAGAACCAGGCCTACAAGTCAGACCTATCCTTCTTAAGCACAAACCGGTTACAAAAAACCACCAGCAGACATTCCCTGCCTCAACAAACAAAGGCAGAACCTAAACCATATACAAATATCAGCTGCCAGCACCTAATCCATTTACAATTGTTAGCAGAAAAACAATATTATCACAACTCTCGAAAACATTGCCATCAACAAAAATTAGTAAGAGTAGGAAGCACAGCCAGCTTGCCTGTTTCCTTCTCTTACTAACTCAAATCAGACCCAGAATACAAGGACATACAAGACCACAGTGCTTCAATTCCTTAGGTGAACACAGTCCAAAAAATGCCAATAGGACCCAGATAAGCAGGCACTCACACCTAACAATACAACACAAAGACCTCCATATTACGGCCTATCCACCACAAGCTATAGAACAATTTGCAGCAAGTCATGGTTTCTATCTAACGTCCGATTTAGCAAGATTATCCGGCATCTCATTACCTGATCTCGAAATATGGTTGACCTTCCATCTTGGAAACTTAAGAACCAAGTCTCAAACGCCACGGGGAGGAAGATGGTTTCAGGACCCAATTGACTGCATTTTTAGAATCGCTCTCAACAAAAAGCCCCAGTCTGTTACACCAATCAGATGCCACACAAACAACCAGAGCTTCTTGAATGGTCAAAACCTCAGCAACATTGGCATCCCCCAGCCTGCTGCTTTGGAAAAGATAATCTTAACAGCGCCACTATTGTCACGAAGGGCTCCACCAATCCACAGCATATTCGGGCAGTCCCCGGCTGCACCGTCCGCGTTGAATTTAAACTAACCAGTAGACGGTGCTTTCCAGGATCACATTGGCTTTTACCTTCCTAACTTTGTTGGGAGCAGCAGCCAGAGTGGGAGAATGAGCAATTTCCGTAGCAGCTGAATTATCTTGAGGTCATCCAGATTTCACCCATCAAGTCTGTCTAATTTTAACAATACCCACTGCTTTCTCCGCATCCCAAATTTTCCTTAAAAAGCTGAACACATGATATTATATGATGGATATTTATTCAATTTTAGTCAAGTATGATTCCATATTTGCATTTAACAGTTTCTTAAGAGGAGAGCAAAAATAGATATTAAAAAGAAAGCAGTAAATTAACATTCATATGAAAACCAAAGTTTTAAATCGTGGTGTATTAGAGATAAATTTATTTATTTAATGAAAGAAATTACATGATAGATTTCTTGGAAAGCAATGAAGAAAAGAAGCATACTGCATAAGAGTTTGACATGTTAATAGTTTCTTGTATTTTTGATTTTTAATATAAAAAGATTTCAGACATAACAAAGTTTGATGGTGTTACGCACAGGTCAAAATGTTACTGCCCGGTACCAAGTTTGTCCAACATCCTGTTGGAATAATTTTGTAGCTATAAATCTGAAAAAGTTAGTATACAATAATGTTTTCATGTGCACTCAGAATATTTTATTGAAGAGCAGACATAGGCACATACTTTGTATGTTCTTAGGAAATGCTAGACACTTTCTTTTTAACTGATTTGTGTCTCACTTATCTACTCCTTTAAACATAACATTAGTACACATGAAAGGCTTTCCTTTTCAGATTTGTAACTGACTATTTGGCACAAATAACATGAACCCACAATGTCCCAATGTCTCAGCTTCTGCTGCTTCTCTCGTATTGATGGTTTACTTTGCAGGTTTAGTAAAGGCAGTGGCATTTGCATGGTACTTTGCCAATTGAAGCATCTGCCAGGGACAGGAACCTATGTTCGGAAGGATGTACGACAATGTCAAAAGGGTAATAAAAAGGAAAGTAATGATGCATCATTCTGAGACGTAGACTCCTTTATTAATTAAAAGAGGAAAACAAAAGGTCTGGATTGCAAGTTGCAGAATTTGGAACCAACATATCCCCAATCCATGCTATATTCAACTCGAAGTCCAACAAAAGCTTAGGGAAAAGGAAGAAGGGCAACACAGACTTCGAACAGAATTCTATCTTCTACATGATATCAGTTACTGATCTCATGTGGAATCCATTTTTCTTAACAGAATTCTATCAACTACATTCAAAGACAGGAGCTATGCGGAATAAATAAGAAATCAAGAAACATAGATTGAAAAGAAAAAAAGGTTCAAAAATTGTAAGAACTGGTAGCATGAACCTTTATATGCAGAAAACAAACTCATCAAAAGAGGAAGTTTAATCGTAATTAAGGCAAATCTAGGTTGTCAAAATGATAACAGAGTTGCACCTCAAGTAGAAAATTATGAAACCTGGGAGTAATTGGTTTCCAAGAACTTCTGGACAGGCTTTGACATTCCGTAAAGCTCAAGGGCTAACTGATATGTACCAAAAAAAAATATATATTTAACTTGACATACGCTCAGAACGTTGCACTATAAAACAAATAAAAATTTGTTTCTCTAGTAAAGCTTTTACATGCAGATGACAAATATACAGCAGAGCATCTTGACATTCAACAGAAATTGACATCCCGCTGCATAAAGAACAACCAAAAAGGAAGAGCAGATGCGTAGAAAATGACTTCCATATTTCTAGGCTTATAGATGTAAGATCTTTTAAGGGGAAATAAATTTCATAGAAGATACATACCTTAATATTATGGACCAAGTTATCAGAAGAAAGGAATGGCTTCATCTTGGTTACATCAACCAGCAAACCTTCATTATAATAAGCTTGATCCTGAAGTTAGGAATGGAGGAAAATGGCATCCGATTGTCATATATGTCATAGCATGCAATAGGGATAATTGGAAAACATGAACTCACCCTGTCCAATGACCATAGAGTAAAATAGGTAATTAACAAGTAAGCTGAATATGTTTTCTGTTATGAAAAATTAATATTATAGAAAATTAATCTCATGCCGATCCAATTTAAAACTTCTATTTTTTTTTAAAACTTAGAACTCCTAAGTGGGCCAGAACACAATGTACTTCTAGAAAGAATATTAATTCCTAAAACATTTAACTTAATTTGGTGGGGAGTTCATTGAACAGCAAATCCGCAACTCATATCCTCAAGTTCCTACCTCACATTATATTATGGAATCTTTCTATCACTCAGAAGCTGCCACTTCCCAACCTTATGCGAAGGCACTACCAGCAGCATTTTCTTGCATTTCCGACAACCTGAATGTTCCTAAGGAATGTCAGCTTCCATTAGATTGCATGATCACAAGAATTGCAAAACACAGGAGGTTATACAAATAAAAGTAGGAAACAAGAAACAAAGGGGTCTCTGAATTACTCACAGCAGAAAAGAAAGGCATGTATGCCTGCTTCTTGAAACAAGCGGGGGAACTTGCGCCCAAGTGAGAATACGTACAAGCCGTGAAACCCTTTACAGAATGAAGGTGTAATTTGGCCTGAGTAAATATGTTTAACATTCTGATGGTTCTTGGTTCTTCTAAAATTGACTTCCACTGACATCTCTAAAATAATCTTCAGAATGTCCTTCTGGTCCAAGTCATTTGAAGCACTAGAAGAACCAACACTCCTTGGATGAAGAACAGCCACAATTTCCTCCGGAGGAACTAGTCCAGCATTACTGTGGCATCCGCTGGCAATGCCTAAGACAAGAAATGAGTATTATTGAAATAAGTCGAGCTGAAGATGCTTCAACTAATAGAACCAGGAAGCAGAAAAATAATGACTATCCAATTGATTCGCCAAGAAGATAGACGATTGCTTGTCAAATATCACACACATGCAAATTGATATTGAGATTGCAATCTTTAACGCTATACATTCTGTTGTGACAATGCCAAAATTATTTGACAGTTCTTTTACGAGAAGATAAAAATCCACCAACCCCATCAACCTCCAATTCTTGACACTGTTTTGCATTCACCAAGTCAACTCTTGTGGGAGCCTTCTGACATTGTTTCTCAAGTTGACAGTCCCAATCAGCATCATCAATAGCTAGGCACTGCAAATGGCTCAGAATTCAGCATGTTAAACAAACATATGAAGCAGCTGCAAAGGGGGAGATCTCATAGCACTATAGGAACAAACAATAAAAGCTAACCTTTCCAGAATCAATCACACCAACGGGACGAGATAATGAATTGCGAACATCAAAGCTGGCATTTCCATCCTTTGCAGAAAGAATACAGCAATTCAAAACACCTAGTGGCCTTCCATTTCAGAAATGGACATAAGTATATAAGTAAACAACGAGCAATTAACACAAAAAACTACAAGAAACTAAAAAAGCAGATGCACAAGCAGGCCGCGTGCGTATAATCCAAACTTCTCCTGTTTAAAACAAATTAATGAAAATATCAGACATGCCACCAGAATATAAAGATGTATAAAATACAATAATTAAGTTAAAGATACTGGTAAATTGAACTTCCTCACTGTTTAAATAAACTGCTTACCAACAAAATCCCCCTGAAATCCTTCAATCAAAAAATATTCTAATGTAGCATAAACATTGTTCCTATGAAACCCTGCACAAGTACCCTTAAGAACTTTGATTCTCTACCCACTTTCCCACAATACTCCCTTTCTCTTAAGAATTTTACGAACCCTTAAAACTGCAAGTTGAAAAGAGGCAATATATGAGCACGCAATATCAGCCAAAACAGGATGGAAAGAAGCAAATTAATGAACAAATACAAGACCTTACCTGATTTAACAAATTTCATCTAAAGCAAACTTATGAGGTTGAAAATATAAAAAATTATCAAACATTCATATACCATCAAACTGCTTATAGATAATGTTACCATCAGATGATATTCCTAGTGCCTTCTTGTTCAAGGGACCGACAACAAACACTGGCTGATCTGCACCAGACCCAATTTCTTCATCATAATCGTTATGCATTTGAAGAAGCCAATCCTGATACTCCCTTTCCAGTTGTAGAAAGGTTAACTGTCCACCGCCTCCATAAATTTCAACATTAGCATCTACAGAATCAAAATTGTTGCATTAAAAAAAAATGTAAACTGGCTTTTCATAAAAACAAAAATGTAAACTGAGTACAAAAGCCAATATCCGACATGGACCCCAACCAAAAACAAGGTTCACCTTTTTCTTTCTCTACGTGCCTACTGCCAAAGTTCTTTAGAGCAATGGAAAAAGGATTATGGTGGCCAAATCAGTCTGGAAAGATAAAACAACATAATCATATCATTATTTAAACTAGTCCAATACATCAATTTTATACACCCTTTTGTCAATCATCATAACAATGTTGGTTGTGCACAACCATATATATTAAGTAAACATATTTTGGGTGAGTGCCCTTCATCTTTGAGCAGAAATTGTCGAAATTGCTTGCAGCAAACAGGGGGTGAAGAAAATTTTAACTAAAACTTTGCCCTTGAACAAGGAAAAGTGCCTTGATAAATAAGCTCCAGACCAAAAGAACTTGCAAAATGGTTCTCAAGACAATAAATAATGACATCATACAGCTGTGTTAACTTTCATCATATGAAATGTATCAATCCCCTATACCTTTAGACACCCTGAAACAGAAGATATCATAATGAATATAGACTCTGAGTCAAAATTCCAAAAAACTATAATGTTTTGAGATTATTCATATGCTAAAGAGATAAAACTAAGTTTATTTTGACTTGGTTTAGATCAAAGATCCCACTCAAGAGGGTTGTAAGGTTACTTGTTCAAAAAATGTATAATTAAATGAAAAAGCAAGCTCAAATTTTCTTCAATGGAATCACAGACTATTAAACTGTAATGGTATCACTTGCAATGATACTTTTAGAATATAAGTTTCTATGAACTTATCTGCTTACTGAACAATTTGAAACAGAAAAAAGAAGTCCATGCACGCCGAGATGTTTTAAAAACTATCACTCCAAAAGTGGAAAAAGAAAATAGGAATTTATTCACTAATAAAAAAGGTTTTCCATTACAAGTGGAGGCTTGGGTGATATATGCCTTTCGACGTCACAGCAGAGATGACTAACCATGTTAAGCAGAACTAATTGACCATTGTTCTTGTTTGATATGCACCGAAGGTTTTACAAGCATTTGATACATAGAGGTGAAGAATGAAGGATCAGTAAGAATGTCTCGAAAAAATTTTGATACATTTATTTTATAAAACAAGGTAATTAATGTTGTTCTCTTCCTAATGCACAGGCTTGGCTTTTGGTTGCCACTTCTTTGAATTTGATAATTCAAAATTGAATTTTGCTTTCTACGAAAAGTAATTCGTATAACAATAACTGACCTAAATAACTCTCTCTTCCCGGGCCTTCCCCACATTATGACTATATCTCCCGAAAACAAACTATGTGGCCCATTCTCAGGTAAAAAGCCCATAATAACTGTTGTCTCTCAACCGTTACATTAACAAAGCCCACCCCATTTGCCTACTTCTCATCCTCCTAATCCTAAACGAATAATGAATTGCTCATGTATTTAAGGCTAACATAACTCCCGCCAAGTCAACCACTTTGTAATACCCAAAGTCTTACTATACTTGGTTTCTCTTCCATCGTTCTCACACGATCTAGAATATTTTCTCCCTTCATAAGCATTCTTCTCTTCTTAACTTTTTGGCTTTTTATATTTTATTGCTTGAAATCTGTAGGTGTTTGAAAATTGATAGACAAAATTTTAACTTTTTTTAAACATAAAATAATTGATTAATCATAATTTATTTTTTATTAGGTTAATTTTTAGTATAAATATATAACTTTATAACAAATAGGCAAACACTTCTTTCTCGTTACTTAAAAAATTTATGGATAAGAAAAAAAAAGATATGGATTTACTCTCTATTGATGATTTCAAAGATTCTGAACTTGGTCCAAATTGCAGCGTCTTCGATTATTTGTTAGAGGTAACAAGAGTTGCCGAGGATAAGCTGAAAAAGGAAAACTTCAAGATCAAACAAGAGGAGGTGGATTGCATGCCGATGAAGAACTTAGACAAGAATTCTGATCTAGAAAGGGAACTTGAAAGCAAACTTAGACAAGAGGAAGGATTGAAATTGAGGAGAAGTAAGACAGAAAAACCACTTTGCCCCAACCCACCGCCAGATTTGCCCGAAAACTTCAAAGAGCATATCGCTAGCAAGATGGGTGGTTCGGATTGGCTTCTGGTGATACAAAAGCCAATCTTTTTCTCTGACGTAAACCGTGGAGCCAATCGCTTGTCCATACCATTCTCCCAAATCCAAAGACATGAATTTCTCTGCAAAGAAGAGGTAGAGTATTTGAATGATAAAAAGGATATGCAAGTGCGCTTGGTAGAACCATCATTGGAGGAGACTACGCTGAGTTTTAGGAGGTGGAACATGACGAAAAGCTCAATGTATGTTCTGACCAAAACGTGGAATTCGGTTGTTAAGAATAATCAACTCAAGATTGATGATGTGGTGCAGCTGTGGTCTTTTCGAGTTGAATCAAGTCTTTGCTTTGCGCTTGTAAAGGTTCACGATGCGCGGCAAGGAAGCGAAGAATGGGTTAGGCATAATGAAACCGGTGCAAGTTCAAGTCATCGAGAAGAGGGACTTGGTGGTTGGAGAAGGATGAGATGCGAAGATGGTTCGGGTGCAAGCTGTAGCAGAGATGGTGAAAGAACAACGCAAGAATAGGGTAGTGGCAGCAAAGGCAACGGGGGAGAAGCCGAAGGCGACCGCATGCAAAGTGGATTCTATTATATTTAGGATTTTCAAGGAGTTTTTTTAATGTGATCAATCTTTTAATTTTTTCAGCAATTTTTAGAATTATTTTTAATTAATGTGGTCCTGACAATTCAAATTAATATTCTATACAGATTTATTCAAATTATTAGACTTTCATTCATCGCAAATATTTTGCTTACTATATTAAACTTGATATTATATTGTCAGTATTTTTCTTGTTAGTGTTATATTCCTTTTTCTTTCATTTTAATGCTAAAACTTTAGGTCTGCACTGGGCTTAGATCATGAGTCAGTTGTCAGTGTTCTTCATGCATAGCATGGCGCCAAGTCAACAATTCAACATAGAGTAAAATGTTCAATTGGTTTGTTCCGTAAATATAGACAAGAAAAAGA